GCAGCAATAGGGGCTGCAGCAGCTGCAGGTCGAGCCGTCTAGGTCGAGTGCTAGCCACGAAGGAATAAGACTGCTTACTATTATACTCTAGCAGCCTCTTCGTCTAGTTCTTAGCTAGCTTCTCGAAAGATAGTCGAGTAACCGTTACTAATAGGCTTTATTAGTAGAGATATATCCCGTAGCCACTAGCCGGAAAGAGCTTCTATAAGGAAGTATTAGTTAGCTTCCTCGAGGATTTCTTCTTACTTAGCTAGCTACGAAGAAGCTAGTAGGTTCCTAGTAAAAAAGGCTCCTAGGTAGGCCGTATAGGTCTTCTTAATACGGTTAGTTATATAACCTCTCGAGGGAGCTATTAAGGTCTCGAGCTTTAAAAGCCACTGCCTAAGAGTCTCTTCCTCTCGAAGAGAGATTAGCTTTACGGCACTAACGGATTCCGTTATCGCCGTGCGTGCAGCAGTTAGCAGCTTCGTCTTATAAAGGTATTCCTTACGGTGACTCTCGTAGTTACCTAAGGCAGCAGAAAAAGCTCTCTATTATGCAGAGGTTAGCTCGGAGAAGAGGGTAGCTCCCTCTATAAAGTCCGTTGCCCTAAGACGAAGAGGGGGCTCGAGAGGGTCCTACTTATTAGAGAAGACTAAATTATAGATAGTTCTGTCTATACGAGCCCGTAGCTCCTTTACCTACTTATCCTAATCTTAGGGCTCTATAAGAATCGTCCTACGGACCGTAGGGGCGGCAGAGTCGTTTTTCGATATTATTGCGGGGAAGGGTAGAAAAGTCGGTTAAAAATCGGCTTTTCTAGTAAGAGGGGTAAAGGGAAGCTACGAGGATATAAGAAAGGTGCCTTTTATAGCAGCCGGAAGGTATAGGAATTCTATTCCTCCCGGGCTTATAACTCGAAGAGATACGAGAAGTATATATAAAATATACGAAGGTGAAATTAGAAGTAAGGGTCGGATAGGCAGGGCAGAGATTTGATTCTTACGGGGCAGTAATAAAGGTAGGGGAGTGATTGTTATATTGCCTTAATTGTCCTTCTTTCCTTTATCTAACGCCCCTATTTATACCCGTCTAGCATCTTAATTAATAAAGAAGATCCTGCTTAAAGAAGCTACTAATATCCTTTTAACTACCGAGCTTTTTACCGGTTTTTCCTTCCTTTGCAGCCGTTTCCGGCATATCCGTCTTATCTCTCGCTACTTATACTTCCCCTTATGCCCTCTCCTTTCTATACCTTCTTTTTAGCTCCTTCTTCTATACCGGGTGTTTTTAGCTTCCTTGGTCCCTCTTACTAAGGGATATCTTCGAGAACTACGAAATCAAGCTACGCTTCGCGACACTAGTAGGAAATACTCTTATATTTATAAAGAATATTAAGAAAAAGTCCTTTTAAATCTTCTATTATTATAGATAAGAGGCGTGCTAATAGAAAGGTATAGATCTAAAGTATAGTATAAGAATCTTAGTTCTTACTAATATAGGAGATAGATATAAGTAGGTGTTTATATATCCTCCTATTAAACTCTATATTATAGAAACGCGTATAAGAGCACATTAAAACTTCCTTAGAAAACTTTAAACCGGCAGAGACTAATCTATAGTAAAAATATAGCTATCTTAGCCTTATTAAAGTTAATACTTAGCGCTATAAGCTGCTAAGCACGCTTATCTACTATATCCGGTACCTAAATAGCAGTTTAGCTAGAGCCTTATACTTACCTAGAGTTATATACTCTAGATATTTCGACTAGCTAGCTATAACTTTATTAAGAGTTTCTCTGTTTAAGCGAAAATAGTTTAGCTTAAGGAAGCATTATATTGCCTTAAAGCGGTTAGGCAGCTAAAATATATAGTGATCTAAAAGAGTAAGTATAGGCATTATCTCTTTAATAAAACGCCCTAAAAGTTATTAAAGTACTAGAAACGAAGGCTATTATTAATATATACGTCCGATATCGAACTACTAGCGATAAATTTATCTCGTTTATAAGTAACGATATAAGGCTTCGTTTTAGATAAGAGGTAAACGCGCTAGTCGGGAGCTATATACTTTAAAAGCCCTTTATAGTCCCGAAGGTAATAGGATATTATAGGCTAAGAACTTAGAAAGTCTTTATATCGGAGCACGTTATTAAGGATATAGAGTATTATATCTCGCTAGTAGCCGAAAATAGGAGGGACGGCTAGCTTAAATACTATTGCCTATACTTTAAATATTTTTATAGGCAGCGGCTATTTATATATAGCGATAGTTAGATTTTATACTCCTCTTTATAGCTCGCAATAACTATACTATAGGGTATGCTCCTAGTATTATATTCCGTCTTCTTCTAGCTAAACCTATTAGTACGCGCTATACCTATAGCGTTCTATTAGATCGTTATACTCTCTCTTAAGAAGTTAGAATTCTTTTTACTTCGCCTACCTTATTTTTATAGCGTCGATATTAATCCTACGCAATAATCCTTAGTATAGATTCGATCGTAAATAATATCGTACTAAGAACGATTCCTTATTACCATAGGAATAAAAGATAGAAGGCTTAAGCGTCTTTTATAAAAGACTATCGCTGCTTAATATACTCTTTAGCTCTATAAAGCCTTACTATATCCCCCCGGAATCCGAGTAATATCGCTTAGTATACTTAGACTAGGATCTCTAGATCGTAGTCCTATAGTATCGGGAGAGTATAGACCGCTGCCCGATCCGCGCTAACCTAGAGTTCGAGAATAATAAGAATTATTCTAGATATTCCTTTAAGTCGACTATCGTACTAAGACGACGCTACTATATAGTACTTTCGTAGTAAATCGTATAAGTTTTTATATAAGGATTCTTTATTAATATACCTCTTAATCTAAGAGTCGATATTACTAGCTACCTATATCTTAATTATAGTAAGTTAGAACGGTAGATAAGCTAATTCGGTATCTATATAGACCGAAGGAAGCACGTATATATCGAGGTAATAGACGCCTACTATTAAAGAGAAACTCGTCTTATCTAAATTCTTCCGTTCTAAAATAGAGGATATAAAATCGTTTATTACCCTAAGGGGGATATAGTTATCCTTTTCTATATCGAGTTCCGAAATTGCCGCTAAGTCGAGCTATAGCTCGCAAAGTTATTAGATCTTTTACTAGCGCTTTGCGATTAGCCTCCGAAATAGCTTTATCGATAGTCTTAAGCTACTTACCGTTTCGCGGGTTATTTAGCTTCTTAAGCCGTCGGCAAATCTTAGTTACTATTACGTAGAGAATATCGCTTAGTAATTCCTAGCGGTTAGCAGCCCTAAGTACGCGAGCTAATAAGAATACTATAAAAGACTTATAAGCGCCCTTAGAGCCGCTACTATTTCGTAATATCGTAGCTATAACGAGACCCGGATAAGTAGCTATAGCTTAGACCTCCTCTAAGGGAGCTTGCTATTAGCCTATATAACCTCCTTATAGGTATTTATATAGATTCCGTCTATATTCGTTAGCTCGCCTAAGCCTAAGAGTAAACTTATTAATAGCTCTATTACGATACGTAGATCGGTCGTATTCCGGTCCTTATCGTGCCTCTGCCCGGCCTTAACGACTTTTTCCTTTATTCCTAGGACTATTTATAGGCTTATCTTAACTAGAGTCTTAGCTATAAAGGACTAGAAATCGGCCTACGTAAAGATATCCTAGGAGACACGGATCGTAGTCGCGGGGAATTAGCGAATTAGTCGGCGCGGGCGCTAAAGACGAACGAGTTAATTCGTAATAGTTCGAAGAGCTCGAATAACATAGAGCCTTTAACCTAGTAAATAAGAACTCCTACGTTCTAAGCCTTAACGTAAATAAAGTAATAACTTCTAAATATCTAAGTTAGTATTAAGAAGTCTATATATAGGGATAATATAATATAGGCTAAAAGAGATACCGAAGGAGGCAATACGCTATAAGGTCTCTAGCACGCTATTCACTTATAAATATCCTTGCGTCTCTCTTACCGTTCGTATATTCTCTATTATAGAAATAGCAGCTTTAGCAGCCGTCTTATACTTAGCGTCTGCCTCGTCTAGAAACCGCCGCAAAGAGTCTAGTATAAAGTCAATTAAGATTGACTCGTTACTACTAGAGCTATTATAGCTATCGGGAAGCTTAGAAGGCAGAAAGAGGTAATAAAAGAGAAAGTCGAGCGACTCCTTGGATAATTCTGCGTTGTCTATAATAAGCAGAGCAAGCGCCGAAGGTTACTTGCTAAGTAAAGTCGGACATTGCAAATTCCCCGCCGGCCACTACAGCCTTCTGCTTTAGGCAAGCCTTTCCCCTTTTAGCTCGTCGCTGCATCCCGAATCGCTATTAAAACACCCACACTCCCTTACTGTGACGGGGACGAGGGCACAACACCAACAGCACGCGCAGCAGCAAGGCCACCACTACTTTCTCTCGTATCGTCTCTTGTAGTCTCAGATCATTTAATCACGGCAAGAAGGACCTCGTAGTGACATTCGTAGTCGGCTTGTGGTGTTTCCGCGTGATCGGCGGTCGTGGGCTCAAGGCTTCAAATCCGTGTAAGTCGTACCACACGCCACTTCGCTCGTCACGGAAAAAGGTGAGGGCCTGCAAAGAGGCAAGACTGCTTGTCCGCAACGCCGCTTGTTCTGATCAAATGACTGCCTGACCCTCGCCTCTTAAATACACGCGACCTTCTTGCTTTTTCTCGATTCTGTTACCTCCGGCCGTGGCCATCACCGGCATTGTCCTTCCTCCCAGCTCACTTGAGCCTGGCCACTTGGCCCGCTCACATTACCCTTCCCTCTCGAGTCTCCTTTTCTTTCCTCTCACCATTATCCCTATATACATATTACAAAGTGAAGCTATTTACACAAACAGGTACGACACGCTTCGAAGCAGCTATATGGGTAATCCGAGTACTTTCGGCCACATTTGACTTTATAGATAATGTAGTTCTACGTGGTGATTTCGCCGCCTTCTCGAGCCGCCTTACAGAACTGGTAAAAAACTCTACAAGTTATAACGGTAGCGTCTGACCATAGTCGCGAGGGGGCGACGACCCTTGGTCCAATCCTTGAACTGCTCCGTATAGCACTCTCGTAGAAGTGCACTCATGTGCTTATTCCATTCCTCTTCCTTCGCCGCATCTCCTTTCCAGTTCTGTGCTTTGTCCTCAACGCACGTGGTAGAATTTCCCAAGTCCAGGCCACTACTGATAAAGCTTTCCCACTCATCTTGGTGAACCTGAAACGGATCTTTTGCAGCCTTCCATTCGTTAAACTGCTCAGCATAACAGGCGCGTGTCAACTCGTTCGTTTGCGTTTGCCATGTCCCTACTTTTGCCACGTCTCCTTGCCGGGCCTGCGCCTTGGCGCCGATGCACTCATCAGTCTTGCTCCAGTCGGATGCATTCCGTTGGCGGATGTACTTGTTCCACTCCTGTTGTTGAAATTTAAAAGGTTCCTGCTCGCCTTTTTCGTTCTTGTCGTCGCCGACGTTGGGCGGTAGCGTATTGCGAGGCTGCGACCTGCCCCGTAAATGTAATTTATCCTCTACCGGTTTGAACCAAGGAATGTAGTTCTGCGCCACTTTATGCAGGGCATCTCTGAAATGTGTTACGGGCCATGTAATACCGTCCTTGATAAGCGTCCCAAGGCTCTCTTTGTTGTTCTTGTATTTAACAAAATCTTCGTGGACCTTGTTTATATGCTCTCTTGTAGTGTCTTGGCTCTCTTTATAGAAGGGAAACCAACCGCGAAGAACGTCGTTGATGGTTGAGAGTGTTCGTTTGCTGATGGAAAGGGCAATTTCTTCTGCCTTTAATACCGAGCTTTCGTCCTTTTCGAGCACGTGTTTCACCTCATCCCATGTCCCATTGAAATTTGATCTAATCTCTGGCAGTCCTGGAACATAGTTTTCCACAATAATAAGCTCAACATTGGCCGTGTGCTCGCTTAAGATGCTGTGAATTTTAGTCACAGCTTCTAGCGGCCTATCCATGTCAATGGACTGCAAATCGCTCTTCATCTTAGCCACGTCCTTTTCTATGTCGTGGAGACCTGGAACGTTATCGGTTGAAACTTGGTGAAGAATAGATCCGCTGTCCTTAAGGACTGCAGCCCAGTTGTGGTGCTCAATGTCGGACCCAAGAGAGCTATTATTAATATGGTCAATGGCGGAATGCGCGACGCTGGTTAGCATCTGTGCTGCTTGCAGGTAGCTGGCAACTCTAATAAAATTGGGGTGCAACACCTCGGCTGGAGGTTCCGGCAATATCTTTGGAATCTCCTCTTCGGCTGGAGGGAGAACACGCTCCGGCTCACTCTTGGCAATTCCGTCGTCGTTGGAACTTCCCGGCCGACTCTTGTTGGGCTCCTTGTCGGTGTTGGGACCACTCTTTCCCACGCAAAGTAGTCCGTCTCTCTTGCAGGGCTCATTCTTGGGTGTTTCATCGCCAGGCTCGCCCCCGGGGCTTTCAGAATCTTTGACGGGAAAACTTGAGGGAAAGTTGCCTTCCCAGCCTACTGCGGCCCCGTTCTTGTCCATGAATGCCTTGACATTGTCCTGGGCTGACTGGCCCTGAGGGGGCTTGAGGGCTTTCCATTCTTCCGTTCCCCACACAGCCTCATCATCTTCGAATCCGGCTAGTTGTGGTTGGTTAAGAGTAGCGGCAAACTGATCGAAAGCTTCGTCATACTCTGGGTTTTTCTCAAAGAAACTGCTGTCAACGACCTGTTCCAGTTCTGCGTCGTCGGGTACGTCATGATTCGGCTTTAGCCATCCTCTAATTTGCTGCAGACGGATTCCCCCAACCGCCGCGACTTCTGCCTCCTCCGGGCTTAAACTGCGGTCTCCGAGAGACGTAGCCATGTCGACAAAATTTGGTGTTGCTTGGATTATAGACACAACCCCTTTACCTGGAGCCCTTAGCTTCACAAAGTCGTTGGCGACCTTGAACTTTGTAGAAGTTGAGACGAATATGCTAGTATCATCAAAAGGGCCATCTTGATGCATCAAGAGCTGGTATGCTTCAGAAGACGCTTGAGGATGAAACTTGGCCGGAATGCCACCAAGCTCCTGAATACGTGCTATTGTAAGGTCGCCGTCACCACGGGCAACCAATTTGATTGGTGTTTGCGCTGGCGGTTCAATTGGCGAGACTTGACAGCTACTGGGCCATGGTAGCAGACAAAGCGACGTGGATAGGACGACGGCAAGCCGGCGCCCGTACATAGTGAATGCTATAAGCTGGAAGTTTGTAAACGAGAGAATAATCTAGCGTAATGAGTACGAGTGCATTATGCAGCTCGGCATATTACATGATTATGGCAAGAAGGCGGCTGGTTTATAACTTTATACTCGGCTTGAATACAACATGTTACATGTAGATGGCCCAAAGATGGACAGCGCAGGCGGCGGAAGCCGTGTACGGCACCTAGAGGGCACTTCGTCCCATGGCACAGCCCTCCTAGTCAATGCAGACTTGCCGAGTCGCCAGATCAGCGCGATATACTAGGGGTCTGAAAGTCGACCCCGCGCTTGAACATCAAGCACGGGGTGCATTGACTAGGAAAGGGTCACTGACTGGGAAACGGTAGGGTACATTAGCGCCAACCAAATTTATAAGCATAACATAGCCGCGCTATGTACTCAATTTCCTCGTTTAAGTGCATAACCTTCTTCCCAGCTTCCCTTAAGGGATTTCCCGGTGATCTGCCGGATCGGACGATTCGCCGGATTTTGGTTCCTTGCATTCCGGTGAAGATTTGAGTGAAACTCCACGAAAATAATATGAAACAATCTCACATTAAAGCAGAAGCAAGAAAGATGCCTAGCAATTCCATTCAATCTACTTCGCAGTCATCAAGCCACCGTGGCCGCTTCCTGTGGCGTCCCGATCGCGCAAGTCCCCGCATTGCGACTACCATCTCCTGGTCGCGCTCGACAGCCAATGATGGCTTTTGGGACGTGAGGAAGTGGTCAATGCCGGCTTTGGATCTTTACGCAACTTAATGTTTGGCGATTTTGAGTGTTCCGGAGCTGTCGTCGGTTCTGGTGGAGCCGAAATGGCGACGACAATCTCGTCTCGAACGCCCGGACTCTTCTCGCGAGTCTGTGGAGCAACAGAGGGTCCGGATCCCATTTCCGACATTTTTTTCTGGTTCTTTCGCTTGAGCTCTTTCCGTATCTGCCTGTTTTTCTCCCGCTCTTGTTGTCTGGCTTCCTTTGCCTGACGTCTTTGCTCAGTTTTTGCCTCCCGCTGCCTTCTCTTCTCCAGAGCGAGAACTTTGAGGTTTGCCGCCTTTTGCTGTCGCTCAAACCTTTGTCGTTCTTTCCAAGGCCTCTTCTTGCTTCTGAGTCTCCATGGCTGCTTTCTTCAAGCGCGCTTGGGCCACTTTTGCAGGGCTAAATACCTGCGCCGAGTTAGGATCTACACGATCGAAAAGGTAATCCTTCAGAGCTTTACCGCGCATTCTGCGCTGCTTTTCGTGAAAGATAGTCTCCCGAAGTCCCTGATTCTCATATCGAAGCAATTCGTTCTGAGATTGGAGACTTTCGAGAGTACTTTTGAGCTTCCGACTGTCTCGGCTAGCGTTTTTTGAGGATCCATCGACTACCTTGTCGACAAGTCGGCGCAAATCCCGAGCAGTGGGCTGCTGCAGGGCGAGCGAGTCAACGGAGCTGTCGCCAGACTCAGACTCATCTTCTGTTTTCTCCGCGATCTGCGACAAAACGACTTCAGGGTCAAATGGGAGGAGTCCGGTCCGTTTCCAACCACTTGCGATGTTCTCCGCCGAGAAAGATGACCCGAATGCGTTCCAAAATAACGACCAGAACTCGCGTTTCGATAGCCCGATGAGTCCCTGTGTCTTTGCAGTCCACTGGATGAGCTGGTTGGTGTATGCGGTCGAAAGAGGCCAAAGGGACACATCAAGGGCTGCAGCCTGTGCGTGGAATGCGGCGGAAACACGGCAACGATTATCCGATGCTGGTCACACCACTCCAGGAAGTCCATATTGACATGACTAGAGTGTCCGTCGGTAATCAGGAGGCGGTAATCCCGGCCGTTTCGCGCCTTTTCTTTCGTGAACCGGTCGAAAACACCAATGAGCCATTCCTTTCCAAGTTCATGGTTCGTCCAACCCGTTTCTGAGGTTGTGAAAACGCCGCTTGGTGCTCCGGATCAAACTCCGTGAGCCAGGAGTCCTGAACTTGCCCTGGCTTGCCTTGGTAGATGAGAAACGGGGGTAGCGCTGTCAGGTCTTGACAGACACATGCCAGGAACGTGATCCATGATCTGTTGCCATCCTGCGCAGCACCGATCAATTTTCCTTGCTTCTTGGCACGAACAGAGAATACTCTCTTGGTACGATTGATGACGCCGAGGAGAAAGCCCTTTTCGTCCACATTATACGTGTTGCAAGGCAGGATGTCGTATTTCTCGATTTTCTCGCCAATCTTGTACGATCAGCAATGAAGGGATGGACTTGGGCACCTACTTACAAGCTCATAGTAGGCTCTGTATCTAGAAGCATTGTCTGCTCTCTTTCTTGCGATATCAAAACCGTCGAACCAAGTGCAACCGAGCTCATCGCTGTTACGTCGGACGAAGCTATACGGCCAGTCCTTTCCGACCTCAATTTTGGCGATATCCTGGGCAAAACTTTTGATCATCGGCAGCGTAGGCGGAATCCCACGTGATGAAAGCTTGCGAATATACGCAACAAGATCCCTTTCTTGCTGTTTTGAGAGACGTGACTTATACAAACTGTCGGCATCCCGTCTTGACCTCTGTTTGCCTTGGTGTCGCCGTCGCAGGGTAGTCTCGTCGCAATTGAACTGACGCGCAGTCTTGGCATAGTTAACAGTGTCACACAGCTTCAGAAACTCAAGCGCTTCATCAATCGGGGCCATGGTGGTGGAGAAATTCAGGATTGAAGTGGAGACGTGAACTGGCGGTGAATCCGGCGAATCGCCCGATCCGGCAGATCACCGGGAAATCCCTTATAACGTAGAGTACCTAAATTTATAAGCGTTACGCGGCCACTTTTATATAGCTACGTTCGATTTCCAAGTCAGTGACCCTTTACCTAGTCAATGCACCCCCCGTGCTTAATGTTCAAGCACGGGGGGTCGACTTTTAGACCCCCCTAGTATGCTTTTTTCGTGTTTTAAGCTTAGTTTCGAAAAGTTAGCCGAAAAGACGTGATGCCTTTTTTTTTACTAGTTATTATGTGGACAGGCTCTTCACTGCAGTGAGGTTATTCGAACTGGTTCAATTGGTTATATCTTGTGTAACTAGGGAAACGTGTCCCATACAAACTGTGTGCAAAGACCTTCCTCCCTGTGTCTCACCTCTTACTCGCACGTGACTAGCGCGGTCGATTAGTTATACGTGCGCGATCGGTGCCTAGTGCACAGGTGGATCCAACACTGGAACCTCTTTCTAAATCGATGATCGCGCACTAATCAATCCACCAAAACACACCAAACACAGCGAATTAAGATGAGATAGGAAAAACACGAACAAGAACACCAACAAACTCCTACCACGATGCATCACTATGTTGGATAGTGTGCTCTGACTGTAGCTCTCCTCCCCACACTGGGTGTGTTCTGCCACACGCCATCATGGGCCGCATTTCGAGCGCCGGATGCGCTAGCTGATTCCATCGGTCCCACGTTGGAATATGGACACGAGGATCTCCTCGTTAATGTGAATGGAATAAAGAACGACGGTAAAGCAGAAGAAGGAACGAAAAACCGATTAAATCTCGTCGAGAATTGTTGTGTTATTGCGATGAACGAATCCTTCCACCTCACGTTTAGCTGATTGTCGCTAATAAACTGCGTGAGGGCGCTGTTTGGTGATGCCTTCGTCATAGCATCGGCAGGGTTATCTGCGCCGTTGACCCAACGGATTTCCGCAATATCCCTTGATTCATATGCCTGCCTCAGCGCCATGATATCTATCATGAGTCGCTTCTCTGTTGTGGTGCCAAGTTTGACGAGGCACTCATAGAGGCTATATGAATCTGTGCAAATGACGAGCGGGATTTGCTTCAGATCAAGGCGTTGTGCGATCGTATTGACCGTTTGCTTGATCACAAATGCGAGATCGAAGCCCGATGTCAATCCATAGATCTCTGATGCAAGAACGCTTCGAGTAACGCGCTTGCATTTAGTTGAGCTCCAATGAAGAATGTTTCCGCGGATGGAAAATGAATCGGTTGATTGCGCGGTCTCATTGGCGATGATAATCACAAAGCCGATTTGAGAGCTTAAATCCTTATTGTTGGCGAATGATCCATCGGTGAACACAAAGATCTTCGCGCTCTCGAGATCGATGGGTATGTAACATAGGCCACGGTCGGGATTGTTGATCTGCCATTCAATCCGCTTGTTCAAAGCCTTGAAGTCGGTATTAACGGGCTCTTGGGCTTGTGCCGCAACGGAACAATCGTATGTTGCTTCGGGTTGGCAAATCGAAGCGATATATGCCCCGGGCGCGTTGAGCAGCATAATCCTGATGCCTACTTGATGCCTGAAGATTGATCTCCTCGAGGTTTTGGCTTGGCCTTCTGCCTGACGATGACACAGCCATTTTGTATGGTCAGGCGGCTGCCGTTAAAGTCGCAGATGGAACCTTCTTGGAGAATCTCTTTTGGCTTGGCCTTAAAGCAGAGTTCTTTCTCCTCGATCTTGAGAAATGCATCTGTGCCAACAATGAATGTGTCATCCGTTTGCAAGGCCGCGATGCCAAACAGGTCCTTGTCGGCGATGTTGTTTGCCGTGATCAGAAGGCACGGGTCAAACGAAGAGGTTTCCATATTAAGCTTGCGGCAGTGATGGTCGTGATATGTGTTGAA